CAAGGTGAGCTTCATTTTGGAGATTGTTAGCTTTCTCAAGGTCAGAAAGGGGAGTGTCAGGAGGGAGATGGGAACTATGCTGGTGCTCAGAGGGACACTGGGAGTTCAGACGGGAGTGCACGTGGTGGTAGAGAAGCACAGCTTTAGCCCCAAAGATGGCTGGGTGCAGGACTGCATCAGGTTTCAGGTACTGACGGTTCAGATTCACTCCACGTGAATCTGTGCTGTAGGAAAACAAGGACCGAAACAGGGTCTAGAGGGTTGGACCAGTAAAGAAGACGTAAGGGCAGATGAAAAAGAGACTGGGAGGCTGACTTATAAAAGGGGAGGCTGAAGTTGCAATAGGAAGGAAAGAATTGAGGACAAGGACAGACCCTCTGCTTGATCTGCTATCACCCCTACCACAGAGCCCTGATGATGGCAGCTCCCTCTATCCAGCTGGACCTGCAGTTGTAGCCCTGCTCCTGATACCATTAGATGGGATCCCTTCTCTTCTTTGGTCACTGGATGGTTGGATGGGCTTGCCCTCATTAGGGAGCAAGGGGATTGGGAAGACGGGAGAAGTTAGAGGAGAGGCTGGGCATTTCACTGAGATGCAGGGCACCAGGGGGACTGCAAACAATCCCGACAGGCTGGGGAGGCTTACCGGTAGTGGCCCCGGACCACACCATCAGGGTTCAACATGGGAATCAGCTTAAAGACAAACAAGCGACGAAGGGTCTGGGCCCGAGGATCATCAGGTCGAAGGATGAAGTCCAGAAAGCCATTGAAGACAAAGCTAGATGGAGTCTCCCCAGGGTGTACCCTACTACTTAAGAAGAATATCTGAGGTAGAAAGGAGAATAGTCATTAGGGCAGTTAACTCTCTAGTTCCGTTCTTAACAGTATTTGGGGGTGGGGAGGTGGGGGAAGGGACATAGGCAGGAATAGTCACTGGATTTCCAGCTGGCTGATTTGTACGTGGAGGGGAAGCTGTCACGCTTGCTTCAGAATGCAGGCTTAGGCTGTGTCCAAGGTGACTAGAGGTAATGTGACTTTAAGCTACCAACCGTGACCGGAGCTAGGAAGGCCAGGGTACCTTTATGCTATTCCCACTCACCCTCTTGCCTGTGAAATGGAATGGTCGAGGGGTGCCAGTGTCAGGAAACAGCTGCTCTAGACGAGGCTCTCGATCTCCTTGAAGCCCATGGCAAGAACTGATTGTTAGGAGATCGACACGATGTCCATCCAGAGAATAGCATAGTATCTCCCGGTGGTAATAGATGGTATCCAGGGGGCTATAGGGATGAAAGTCATTAAGCCAGGAGATGTCCCTATGGCCCTAGTAAGAAGTGGGACTCATCATAAGCCCAGAATTTGTAGGATCTGGTCTTTCACCCTAGTGTTTGGGGCCTTACAGTCCCTCACAATGTTAAATGAGGCTGAGGATTTGGATGGGTCTGCATCGCCAGAATGCACAGTACAAGACAGGAGAAACTTACTGTTTTTTCTCCAGTTTATGGCTCCCTACGATAGATTACGTTGCACAGACAGAAAGCTGTCCTCCATTGGAACAGAAAACAAGGTGTGCTGAGCAATGGCAATGCTGGCTAAATTCTGGATAACTGATAGGAGCTGGGATATTAAGAGACATGAACTGAGCAGGTGGGTGAATGGAATGTCGGTGGTGTATGTGTGCTGAGATCAAGGTTGCACAGAAATATCTGTCAAAGGTGCCCAAAGTACCACTTCTGTACAGAGAAAAAAGCTGATGAAGATTTGGTTCAGGGCTCTTAGGGCACGTTCCAGAAGTAACAGAGGGCTATCTGGTCCAGGACTGTGTGGCAGGAGTAAGAATGGGGTTGGCACCTGCTATGGGAAGGATGGTTCTCCAGAAAGCGCTGGTCTAGCTGGTTTAGCAAATCTTGGCAGTCATTGTAGGAGAAGGGGTAGCAGAAGGCGAAGAAGGTGGTGGCCCCACGGCCCTCCACGAAACGGTGAACAAAGGATAACACAAACTGCGTCTCTGTCATCTGAGAAGCAGAGCAGGAAGAGGGAGGGGCAACATGCCATCTGGTCAGAACTAAGATCTGCTGGGGTCACCAGGAACTGACCTCATCACATTTACCAACTTTCCTCCGTCTGACTTTCCTCATGACCACCAGCTCCTTCTAGACTTCCTGAGGTAGGGGCTTATCTTAGACTCCAGGGAGCACTGATACCAAACTGGTGGCCCGCCTGGACCCTATTACTCCACATCGAGGGTAACTCCTCTTTCCTTTCCCTCCACTAATTTTAGCACCCAAATTTTCCTTCCTCTTCAAGAAGAACTTACTTCAAAGGTGGGCCGGTCTCGAATGCGTTCCCAGCGTGGCCTGTTGGGCAGTGTACGCACAAAGGGGGCCATGCCTTGGGAATACAGCTTGCTTTGCTTGTTCATGTTCATAATGTTGATCTTAATGAGTTTCCCTGGAATTCCTCCCCGGACACTGAAGTAGAACCATGACCTGAGGGCCAGAGTAGGAGCACACATCATTATATACCAGAGGGTTGGAGAGAGGCCATGAGGGAGAGCTGCAGCAAGCCAAATTGGGGAAAGGCTATTTAGTGAGGAGGGAGGGAAGGGGGGTGGGGGAGGGAGAGGGAGAGGAAGAGCAGTTTGATGGTATGAAATTAAGTCAAAGGGCTAACTGAAGCAAGGATTTGGAGATGGGGACATCCCCCCACTTTTCCTTCTTCCACCCTCCACTGCTTTGCTCTTACCTGTTCCCATTCTCAAATTCTGTTTCAGCACAGTCTGGTCGGGTCCACACATTGAACTCGTAGTCGGGGGAAGACGCAATGCTGCTGATGGGGGCTGATGCCCCACTTAGTACTCCTTCCCCCTCATTAGACACAGGTTCCACCTTCTCCACATGAGCTAGATTCCCGGAATCAAAGCGAGAACTGAACAGCAGTCCCCCACAGCGCAGCTCCATGGTGGGGCTGGGAAAGCATCCTCCTGCCGAACTCTGGCCCTGAGAGCTGGGGAAAAATAGGGAGTGGGGTGGGGAGAGGAGGAAGAAAAATGAAAACAAGTTTTTTTGGTCTCCAGATAAATGAGAGCTACTCTGCCCCTCGGAAAAGGTAGAAATGGCCTTCCAGCAAAGGCCAAAAGAAAGCAGTATTCTGTCCCCACACTAAGGCTTATAGCTGACCTAAAAGAACCCCATTTTACTACAGCTGGCTGTTTCAAAATGAAATACTCAATGGCTTACTATGCTGAGAAGTACTATACTCTATAAGCTGCTTTGTAGCCCAAATATTAGAGGATATAGTTAGAGAGATTAGATTTCTCAAACCTAGCCATGATACACCCACCACAAACCCATAGCCATCTTGAAAGACGGGCCATTCTGGATCTCTGGTTCCTAGACTGGCTCCCCACTCTGCAGGCACAGCAGGGCGGAGAGAACCAAATTTCTAAGATTAAACAGCCAGCTTTCCCTCTCCACTCCCCTGTCCTCACAAGTACTGGCCAGGCATTCTTGTATTGCTCCCCTGAACTGTGGAAGGGCTGGTTCTTACTTTTTTGTTACTATCCTATGCTAAGGAATATAACTAGAAAAAAGTTGTCTTTGCCAATTCAAAAGAAACTGGGCAGAACCCACCTGCTCACCCGGACTGTAGCTCAGTTCTAGGTAGGGCATGTATTTCCACCCTCTTCCCTCCACGTAAGCACTGGAGTCCCTGAAAAAGCTATCCTGGTAGTTGTGAGTAATGTGGGTGTTCTAAGCACCCCATACACAGTGTCTGGTAGAGACCCACTTCGGGGCAAGAGAATGGCTTTTCGATCCTCGATTCTTCAGGACCCTCACACTGACCTCACCTGCCCACGGCAGGGTGGGGTTTGAAGGCATGGGATGGGTCGACAAGGACTCACACTCAGGGCACAGTAGGAAAGCAGGGACTAGAGGTCAAAGGTGAGGCCACAGGAGTGGGGGTGGGGCCGGAGGACCCGCCGGCCTGGTCGTCGGGCGCGGTGGTATTCCAGAGGGGCTCCGGGCCGAAAGGGGCTGAGAAGGGGGCGGGGCCCGCACTGCACGCAGAGCCCCTCACCTCTCTCCGGGCCGGTGATCCCGCTCCCTCTCCCGGTAGCGCGGCGCCACCTCGGGCCCCGGCACCTGAGCCCTCAGCCCAGGACCCAAACAAAACCCGAGCGCCGCGGTGCCGGGACCCCGCTCTACCAGGAAACAAGAAGTCTCTCGCCTATTGGCCGCGGATACAGCTGGCTACCCGCCCAGTAAGGCTCTCTGCCATTGGTCAGCACGCAGGGGTTCCCTCGCTCGCTAACGGTACCTGAGCCAGTGGCGTTTCGGGGCTGGGCCGGCAGACCCGCCGGGAGGGTTCCACCCGCGTCTTCTCAGACGGCGGTTAACGGCCTGCACACTGGAAGGAGCAAAAGACAAGGTGACCAAGAAATAAGTTGGGAAAAATTCACCTGTAAAATAAAAGAACACTGGAGAACTGATCATTGCTTACCAAATCCTATTACCTGCATATCACAGCCTTCCCTCGAGTCCAGCGGATCTGTCTGAGAAGGAATCCTCTGAAGCATGGAGTAAAAGTCTTATGGAGGATGCGGGCATCGATCCCGCTACCTCTCGCATGCTAAGCGAGCGCTCTACCATTTGAGCTAATCCCCCGCCTGCTGTTAAGTTCTTTCCCCTTACTTTACAGGCTGTCCCAGCCAGCCCAATGACCAGTGGACGGGTAGCAACTCAAGACATTATTTAGCAGAGTACGGTAGGACCGTGGGCAAGACTTTAAAAGGCGGGCATCTAATAATTACACATAAACAATAAGATTAATACGTCTTTGCACTTAAACTACAGGGGAGCTGCATTATACGCTGCTTACTACATATGCGCTTCATCGAACATCTGCAGTGTTCTAAGCAGATAGACAGCCGGCGTGGCTTCGGAGTAGCAAGTCTTCCCCATCTGGGAATTGAATGAAGAGGCAAAAACAAGCGGCCAAAGTCCCTCGAGCCGGAATCGAACCAGCGACCTAAGGATTGCTATCAGAGATCCACTACAGTCCTCCGCTCTACCAACTGAGCTATCGAAGGCCCCGCCGTGCTACAGCTTTGCCGATTTCCCCCTAATGATTACAGAGGCACGCCTGGCCCCCAATTTCTAAGGGAATCGAAGAGTCCGAGACCCTCTAGGCCGCACAGTATAGAGCAAGCCAGAGACACCGGTGCGCGCAAAGGACTCTGCCAAAGGACCCGCTTCCCAACCCTAGACTAAGGAAACACAAGCAACATACTTACCTGCTTTTTACAAAACGGTACACCCCGCTTCTGGTGGCTACTATTGGATCGCGGGAGCTTGGAGATCCCGGACGCTTGAACTTCTGGGCAGCACGTCCCCAGCGGCGTCGGTAGGCACATGTGCTCTGTAATTGCAAGGTGCTTGCCGCGTTTGCAAAGCCGATGGATTTCACTAGTTCTGCTCCCCATTTCCCTAAGGTTAATCCCGGGCGCCAATAAATCCTACTGCTTTCCTGATATAGAGGACATTCTTTCAGTCAAATAACCAAAGTTTTTTCAGAGTCCATTTGTTCTAACTAGAGCAAGAAAGATACAAACAGCGGAGCTGCTGGAGGCTTGCACGGCGGGCGGGGCCCGCAGCGCCGAAACTCCGAAATTCGCGACTGACGGGTGGGGGTGTCGCAGAGTGGTGGCCCTGCACAGGATCCTGTCCAACCCTCAGTCCGAGACCCCATCCCGCTCACGCCTTCACCTCTTTCCAGGGGCCTGCAATGCACACTTACAATCCTTTGCCCACCAGACGCTCTTGGGGTTTTAAAACAAAGAAACAAACCTCAAACCCAACTTCTCTGAGGAGCCTTGCTTTGTAGTCTGGCGGGGTTGGATGTGCTGGGGGACCTGGCCGGCTCTGCCGCCGACTGCCTGTGCTACCTGGAGTCACAGTTGCCCTGGGCAAATCCAGGTCGGGTGACAACGGTTCAAGTCCCTTGTAGCTCTGACAGTTTTATGGGTACTCTCAGGCTGAGCTTTACATCCGAGGTCTCTGATATCACTGAACACAGCACGGCTTTCACCTTCGCGCCCATCCACAAAGCGGGGAGCCTAACATCTTCTTATTGGTTCCCTGGTTTAACTTCGTTCTGCTGAGGCAACTGCTGCCATTGTTTCCAAGACCCTTAGTTTGGGGTAGTTTTCTTGGCTGAGTGTGTTTAGCGAGCTCCCTCTCTATTTCTTGAGGGCAAGGGAGGCTGGAAGCAAAACATAATTATATTGCCCCCCATCCCCTTTTTTTGAGGCAAAGCTCGCATAACTCAATTAGCCATTTTAAAATATGAACATTCACAATGTCCAAATTATCACCTCTCTCTATAGTTTCAAAACTTGCTTTAAATCACGCTAGAATACCTGATACCCTGTAGGTAATCACTCCCCACCACCACTTCCTCAACCCTTGGCACCACTAATCTGCTTTCTGTTTCTACGGATCTGCCTATTCGGGAGATTTCACATAAAATAAATAAAATATGTGAACTTTTGTGTCTGATTTCCTTCACTTATAATGTTTTTGAAACTCATCCAAGTTATAGCACATATGAGTACTTCCTCCTTCTTATGGTTGAATAATCTCCATTGTATGGCCATACCACTTAACCCATTCATCTATTAATGGACATTTGGGTTATTTCCACCTTTGAGCCTTTATGAATAACGTTGCTATAAATATTTCTGCACAAGTTTCTGTGTGGATATATGTTTTCACTTCTTTGGAATACACATAGGCATGGAATGGTTTTATGGTAATTATATAAACAAAGAGCAACCATCAAACTATTTTCCACAGTCCCTGAACCATTTTACATTCTCTCTAGCATTGTAGGAGGGTTTCAAATTCTCCACATCTTTGCCAACTTTTATTTCCTGAGTTTTTTACTATAGCCAATATTTCAATAACTTTAGTTAAATTACTTATAAGCATTTTCCTGTATCATTAAGGATTTTTTGAAATCACCATTTAAATAGCCATTTCCTATCTTTTGGTTTATTGAAATATTCCTTACTGTTGGATAGTTAATATCTGAATTTTTACTATTAATAAATTGTAAAAAATAAATGTTCTTATGCATAAATTTTTGTCCATATTTGTTTCTTTAATGTCTAGAATATTTTTAGGAGTGGAATTAGGTGGTAAGATAGTATTAAACTTTTTTTAAGTTCTTTGATAAAATACAGCACCCTTCATTTTATTGTGATTTGCAGACACTTGTTTTTTGCAAATTTAAGGATTGTGGCAATCCTGTGTCGAGCAAGTCTATTGGTACGATTTTGCTAACAGAACTTGCTCACTTCATGTTTCTATGTCACATTTTGGTAATTCTTGTAAGATTCCAAACGTTTTCATTGTATTTGTTACTGTGATTTGTGATCAGCAATCAGTGATTATAACGTGCAAAAGTGCAGATGACAGCACTTCATAGCATTATTTTTAAACTAAGATATGGTATATACATTGGTTTTGAGGTGGATATGCTATTGCACACTTAATAGACTACCGTATAATAAAACATAACTTTTATATGCACTGGGAAACCAAAAAATTCATTTGACTTGCTTTATGTAGGTGGTCTAGAATTGAACCTGCAAAACCTCCGAGGAATGCTAGTATTACCAAATTACTTCCCAGAAATATTATACCAATTTTTATTATAGCATTCACCATATTATACCAAAAGTGGTATTTTACATTTGTACTTTACCAATGAAATGGACTTTTTTTTCCATCTATTGTTGATTTGCATTTCTTTTATGACTTTCACCCCCATTTTTACTGTTTAGTGCTCTTGATTTCTAAGTTCCTCAACATTAAGAATGTACTTATGGTAAGCTCAGTAAGGAAATGCAGGCCTTGATCAACACACCAGTTAGACCTAACAGACACACAAAACATCCCACCAGCATAATATATTCTTCTCAAATACACATGGGACATTCTCCAGGATAGCCCACATCAGGAAACAAAACAAGACTCAGTAAATATTAAAAGATTGAAGCCATACAGAGTATGATTCAACTATGGACTTTGGGTGACAGTGATGTGTCAGTGTAGGTTTATCAATGTTGACAGTGTGCAAGGTTGTGCAAGTGTAAGAAAAGGAATATGTACTTTTTGCTTAATTTTGATGTGAACCTCAAACTGCTCTAAAAGAATAGTCTATTAAAAAGTTAATAACTGGTGTGCTAACAGTAAAAAATCATGCCAAGACACATCCAACAATGCATCTGAATTAAACTTTATTAATAGGCAGAATATTCAATGGATATTTATTCATACCCTAAATGGTGGTAGCTTCACCCACTCCCCAAATTCCTTCTTATACCTTCTGATACCCAAGTCTGGGGTAATGAAACTGCTCACTAAAATGGAATCCCACATAGGGAAGAGTAAGGTCCTTTGCCCCCTCAAGCCCTTTTGGGAGCAGAACCATGAAGAGTATAATAAAAAACGATAGTTCACTAGTAGACTTAGATATTATAATGTTCAGGTCACATCACTATTGAAATTTCCATGTAATTGATAACTGGGTCATTCTGGAATAGAGCAGGGTAGGCATGCCTGTCTCGATGGAAAACATTTCACCCTAAGGGTGATGGCATTTGTAAGCAGCCAAGTCCAACAACGTTGTTTGTAGGGCAACATTATCTGGGCATAGTAAGGCTACCCATTAAGCTGCCCTGCCGTAAAGCTGGATACAAATCTGGAAATCGGCTTTATGACTTAAAAAGATGTGAAGTGTTTCAAATGTGTCATCTGATGTAATTTGCAGGTCCATACAAGAATTGGTAATACATTAGTAAGAGAACTATACTTAAATGGCCCTTCAGTTTTATGACATGTTATCTGCAGAATTCCAGCTGTGTGTGAAAAGTTGCAATGTCCAGATGTGACCTTCTGAGGTGTCGGTTTCTGTTCTTCCATAACATCAATAGTCACAGTGTGATTGTCCACCTGTCAGCTCAGTGTATTCTAATAGTCCACATTGGCTCAACTCACTGGCTCAGCATGGATTCCTGGTTAGTGACAGTGCTGCACAAAATGAAAGGTCTAGGTGTCTGATTTAGCTAAGGGACAGCAGGTGTGGTGTTTAGTGGATTACTCTTCTGACAAAGGATAAATTCTGGACAATTCCAGTATTGGGCCAAACAACCATCTATCAAAAAAAGCCAGTTAAGGTGTCATAGTTCCTGTGAAAGGCTGTGGAGACCTAGTTATCCTAAGTTGAAGAGAAATGCAGCAACCCAGGATTTTATGCAGAAATTAAATGCACCTAACAATGCAAATGGATCATAGAAGCTGATGTAGCACTAAGTGCCATTCTGAGTTGCTGGATTGAGACCTTGGGTCCAGCAGTCTTGGTCAGACTTGATGTCACAGTATGAGTGTCACCATTTTACTTGTCCTGTATTGTCACCAACTCAGGTTCATACCAGCCCCCTTTCGACTTGCCTGAGAACAGGCCAGTTACAAGGATCCACTATTTTTAAGAACTGAAGCCATTTCTGATTGATAAGGAAGAACTGAGGAAATGGAAAATGTCTTGAGACCCTTGGACAATCCTGCCTAGCAGTCCTGGGCCTGGCCCTTTGCCAGGTATAGTTTCTTTTTTTCTGGGAAAAGTGGTCATGGCTAACTGCCACTACGAAAGCAGGATTCTGCCCAACATGAGCTGCTCAGCTTCCAAGAGGTAATGTAGTTACACCCTAACAAGGAAACAAAAAAGGTGAGATATTGTAATCACGACCTCACTTGTCATAATTTTTCTGTGCTTGATATTTTATAACCCCTCCACCGAAAAACCGAAGTACTGCCTAAGGGCAGCATGTGAAAGGGAAAGTGGTAGCCAGTCATCATCCCTGCAGGTCATCTTAGGCATAATGACGGAAGCAGAAACCAGCCTGGAAATTGGAGTGGGCGGTGCACCTCTGGTACTGCATACATTTAAAAACATGTAAGGGGGAAAACTTGAGGTGAGACCTGAAAGCCTGTGCAATTATCTGACCGTAGTCTCAAGTTGAAAACAAAAAGGACTTTGGTGATAGCCCCATGATTCATGTGTCTTTTGGAATTTCAAAGATCTTTCACTCGTGGCCTTATAAAACCTATTAATAAGTTAAGGGCCTGGCAATGAGAGGATACCCCTGATCACTGACCCCTCATCCCCTTGGAGACTCTTCTCCCTTGCTTTTCCAAGCATGAAATACTCAAGCTATCAAGGCAAATCGTGAGACATGGGTTACAGTGACAAGGCAGTATGATTAAGGGAGCAAGAGGAGTGTGTCCAGAACTCTCAATAGGCTGAAGTCTAGAATCATGGGTATGGGCTTTCCCTGCCAGAAGCTCAATCACAGACAGTGGGAAGCCCTCCCCACTACATGGGCAGGGGGCCAAAGAACATGCAGAGCCCAACATTTTGCTGTCCTCTTAACGACTATGGGAATTTCTATACAAGGATGTAGAGAGGAAAGCTAGCCATCACAGTTGTGTCCTTTATTCCACTTAGGAGGCATACCCAGAAGCCATATGTGAATCCTGTCTCAACAGCCTGCTGGAAGGGTTCTCTGTGCCTTCAACTACCTGGGTTCTGTTCTCCAGACAGATGGCAGGGAGAGAGGCAGGCAGCTGAGAGAGGTGAACCTTGAGGTGGAGACTCCAGCGCTGAAGGGGAATGGAGAGTGAGGAAGTAGGAGCACGATGCAGAGAACGGCGAGGGGTCCTGAAGACCTCAGTTGGCCATTTTGAGGTGACAGGCCTTTTAGCCTAGTCTTTCATGTCCACTGACAGCCACACTCAGACTTGGGTACAGGTGAGGCTGTTATCCACTGCAGTACTATATTCCTCTGGAGGGCCCTTTCCTTTTTCTGCTGTGGTTAATGTCCAGGAGCAGGAATCGTTTGCCAGAAGAATGCAGGTGCCACTCACTGGACTCCCACCTTTTAGGAGGTGAGCAGTTTGGCATCAAGAATGAGATGGAAAAGTGGAGAGCAGAAGACAGCGGGGGGCTGGAGAGGCTACCAGCCCAAGGACAAGGCTGGGAGCCATATGCCACAGGGCCAGAGAAATGTTCAGAGGGACTGGGGGTAGAAGGCTGAGATACCTCGGCTCAGTCCTCGTCAAAGATGTAACAACTGGGGCAGAAGCTAGTAGTCACTTGCCTAGGAGATAGAACTCAGGCACCAAGTCAAAAAGACTCTAATACAGAACTGTAACCTTAATTCCCCAGCAGTCTAAGGTGGCCTGCCCCAGACAAAACCCAGTGACCAGGGAGGCAGGGCCTATTGCTGGGAAATCATGCCAAGTGCCCAGTCCAAGAAAGCCACTGTGATGTCCTGCAGGCAGAGCCAGGTCCAACGGGCAGCCTCAGTGAGCTGTGTCTTCACACAGTCCCAGGTCACCTCACCTCTGGGAGGAAAGCAGAAGGTTTGTGGGGGTTGGGAAGCAGTGGAGTACAGGTGTGTCCAGTCATCGGTCTGCAGGTCAGACCCACTGCCCACATCCCAGAGTGGCCAAGGGATGAGCAAGCAGCGAGGCAGAGCAAGACTGAATACAAGAATCTCGTCCCTGGAGAGAGGGCACTACATCAGGGCTCCTGCTGGAGGCCTGGCTGAGGGTCTCACCTGCATGCCTTGTGGCAGTGCTCCTGGGCCCGGGCCAGGGCCTCAAGCAGTATGTGCCACAAGGGCACCAGCACGTTCTGGTAGAGAAGTAGGAGCAACTCCTTTAGAGAATGGAGCAGCTGGGTTAGGGCGTCAGGGAGCTGGATCTGTAGCCGGACCATGGAGGAGGGACGGGGTTAGAGTGTCCAGGGAATGCATCCTGGCCCTGAAGACCCAATTCATGTGGGGCTGCACCTTCCCAATAACTCAGCCCCTGGGGAGACCCGCCCTTCTGACCTCCCTGTCTCTGGCTTACTCTCTGGGAGAGGCTGGTGAGGCTGTCACCGAACCAGGCAAGGTGCGAGGCACAGTGGGCAGAAAGGAAGCTGACTGTGGCACTAGTGTGTTTCCAGGCTAGCTGCAAGCCAGGCCTCACGACAGTCAGCAGGTGGGAGCCCCAGGCTGGCAATGTCTCCTCTAGCCAGCTGTAGGAGAAAATGGAAAAGTGAAAGGAGAGCTGAGTTTCCTCAGACAATTGGCTCCCCAAGAGTAGGTGTAGGAAGGGAGAGGAAAACCACATTCACTTCCCACTGACTTGTCACCACCCTGAACACTTAAGCCCTGTCCTGCCTCCCTTCTCCCCTCCCTGGGAGATGCTTACCTGTAACCTTGCAAGCTGTAGAAGTAGATCTTGGCACATGCTTGTTGGCCAGCAGGCAAGAAACCAGATGAATGAAGCAACTGACCAGAAACAGAGGCTGAGTAAAAGAGGCCTCTGGTGAGCAGGGAGGTGGGGAGGGCAGTGATGGGGAGAAAGATGCTGCACCCCAGGGCAGGCCCAGTGAGAGATGTGGCAGAACTCAGTGTGCTCACGGGGCTGTAGAGCTGGCTCTAGTCTGCTCTGGAGCATGGTTGGAGGGAGGGATGCAGGCCTGGGGAGCTGAGCCCCCTTCTCCTGCTGGGCCAAGTAAACAGGAAAGTTGCAGCCAGGAGGAGCCCTATCCTTCAGGAAGCCTTGGGTTTGAAGGTCTGACCTTCTACTTACCAGCTGTGATCTTAAGCTAATTGGTAAATCTTTCTGAGCCTCAATTTCTTCTGGAGTTAGAAAGGAGATAACACCTTCTCCAACGAGACAGTGAATATGCAAACATTTCTATACTGCAAGGCACTAGTCTGACTGGAAGTAATCATGTGATAGTTGTAGACAGAAAAAATCTGAAGTGTTCCTTCTGCAGTATCAGGGAAAAGCTGCGTGTTGTGGTGGGGAGTATTACACCCAGCTCTCTGCCTCATCCCCATCCTAGCTCCCTTGCCTGACAATCCCTGCTTACCCTGGAAAGAGCTGTGTGACCGTAAGTCATGGCACAGGAAACCTATGGCGAAGACCAGCACCAAGAGGAGCAGCTGTGTCAAGGGCAGTCGGCAGCCCCATGCCTGTTGCAACAGACCCTAGAAGGATACGGGGTAGAGAGGACAGGTCAGAAGGGAGAGCTGGTCTTTGCTTCCTAAGGAAGGCCTCAAGCTAGGCCTTCCAGGAAGAGTATCAGGCCCTCACATTCCCTGAGGTAGAAGGGGCTCTACCTGTTCTACACAGGGACAGGTGGGGCAGGAATGTGACACAGGCCCAACCCAGGGTGCGCCGAGACAGACATGTAGGACAGAGTATGGGTTGAGGAAGGATGGATGCCAGCACCTTGCAGGCCACATCGCAGGTGACGACATCCTGGTTGTTCCAGCTGCACTTCCTTAGCAGCTCCTGGTTGGTAAGCTTGAAGGATTGAATGGTTTCTTGCAAAGACTTCCGTGCCTACAACATAAGAGAAGTCTGAGCTGGGAATGTAAGATTTAGCCCATGAGGGAACCTGAGTCTCTAATCCTGCTTTATTTTTCATGCAAAATGGGCTAACAGAGCACTTTCTCTAGGAAGTAGGGGACAGTGACTGAGGGTTATGAATCCAGAAACCAGATGAGGCTCACCCTGCCATGTCCTCCCAACTCCTCACCTTCTTGGGAATCTGCTTCCAGGACCTGAGCAGGTGCTCCAGCAGTAGGCTGTGGGAAAAGTACACCCCCTTCCAATCAGGGAGCCCACTTGGCCCCTCCCAACTGCCTGTCCTCCCATTAGGCCCTAGCTCCAATAGGCTGAAAGCTTTTAAATTCCCTACTGCAGAGCAGCAGCTTCCTAGAGGCAACCCCAGTGTTGTTGCCACTCAACTGGAGGCATGAACCTGAAGAACAATGTTAAGTGTTCCTCCTTGGTTTCTAGGCCCGGGGCAGACTGGGGAGCATGGATTAAGGCTTCTCTGTATGCATCAGAAAGTAGGTGACCCTCCCCAACCCCCACCTGCCTGGACTGTGACAGGTGCTTGGGGTACAGCTGCCTCCAGACACTGGCACTGAGGGGGTCCACCGTCAGGCACTCAGTCAGGCTGCTCAGGAGCTGCACAGGGGACAGGAGAAGGGAGAGACTGCTGAGGCATAGGGCTGGTGGACAGGGAGGGTGCTGAGAAGTAATCCTGCCTGCTAAGTGAGGCCACACAGACAAACATCCACCTTCGAGGAGGAGGATGGAGAAATTGTGCCAAGACCCCAGAAATCTGAGGCTATAAAAGGGTGGGCTGCAGCTCCTGGGCTGGAGTCTGAGCTAGGAGATCACTTATTTATAAGTGGCAGGACAACAGAGAGCAGGCAGACCTGAACTCCCTGTCCTGCCAGCTCTGCTCTTCTGCAAGTGAAGTGTGAGTGCATGGGGCAGGCGGCTGCCAGGAATGAAGTAAGGGGATACCCAGGAAATGGTTCCCTGAAGGCAGGGCCTTTGTCAGCAGATAAGGACCTCTGTAGTGGACTCCTGAAAAGGAAAAAGGAGACTCCCACCATTCTCTCACCTCTTTCTTCATCTCAGGAGGGCAGCTTGGGGTGGCTCTGGACAGGAAGGAAGGGAAGTAGGTATGTAGGGTGGCTTCTGGCTTCGCCCCAAACGCCAGCACCTTCAGTCGGGGGTAGAGCTGACACAGCTGCTCCTGCAGGCTGGGGTGGGGGTGGGGTGGAGAGCCAAGCAAAGCTCTAAATGGAGCTGTGCAATGCGTCCCTTTTCCCTGCCTCAGAGGGATGGAGAAATTGTGCCAAGACCCCAGAAATCTGAGGCTATAAAAGGGTGGGCTGCAGCTCCTGGGCTGGAGTCTGAGCTAGGAGATCACTTATCTATAAGTGGCAGGACAACAGAGAGCAGGCAGACCTGAACTCCCTGTCCTGCCAGCTCCTCCTTGCCCAAGTGGGTTAGTTACTAATGGCCTTATAGTAGCTCTAAATCTTTTTAGACTTTCAGACTCTTTGGAAAATCTGTGGAAAATCATGGATCCTCCCCCCAGGAAAATTCCCCAACACCAATCAAGGGTCCATGTATTTTCAGGAGGTTCACTGATTCCTTGAACTTCCAGCTTGAGAATTTCAGATCTAAAGAAGGGACAGGAATATATTGTCTGCTCTTGACTCTCTATTGGGGTCCTTCATAGCAGGTGTGCCCCAGGGCAGTCCCTACCTGGGTGTCAGGGAGTTGTTAGGCATATAGGCAAAGTCCAGAAGTGGGAAGAAGTCCTTGGGACCGATCGTGCCAAAGCCCTTGGTGAGATTGGGGTGCATCCTGTTGGGGAGGACAGAAACAGGTTTGTTGGAGACTACCCCTCAGGCCATGATGCCAGCCAGCTATGACCAACATCTAGGACAAAGGGCATAAACTCTACCCTACCCCACTCCTTAACGGCTCCCTCCTTTGCTCCGCCACCATATTCTGAGTTGGGAGAAGCTGTTCTGATTTTCCTCACATTTATGGAGACCAAGATCACAGCATCCCATTCTGCTGAAACAGCCACTTGTAGACACCCTGGGCCTTTCCCTTGCTGCCCCCGACCCCCTCATTACTCACAGGAGCAGTCGATCCAGGTATGCAATGGCAAAGGGAGACAGAGACTTGATACCCAGCACAGGCAGCATGATCCCCAGCCACACTGTGGAGACAAAGGTTCAGGCTTGAACCCACTGGGGATGCTGAAGAGCTTCCTGCCTCCAAGATGATCCTTCTTTCTTCCCCACTTGTACCTTTCAGTCCCTCGGTGAGGTTAGCAAAACCTGCTTGACCCACGGCCCACATGATGGTCAGACACTTTGCTGGTCGGCTCTGGTGGGACCTCAGCAGTTCAAGAAACTAAGGAGACCAATGGGAGAGGCAGACTGGGAAAGGGCAAAGCACCAGGAGTAGCCCCAAAGCCAGGCAGGAAGAAAGATGTCAACTGGGAGAGGAGGGACAGGCTGAGGGACACTGGAGCACTATGGCAATGTGTAGTGATTCAGAGCGTGGGCTTTGGCACCAGACACTGACCTTCACCCATATACTTGCCACTTACTAGTAGACCGACTCTAGGAAAGTTACAGAACCTCTGTGGCTCAATCTTATCTATAAAATGGGCACAGCAGCAGTACCTACCTCATAGAAATACACAGCAGACACAAGAGTAGGCATTAGTGTTAGCTGTCACTTCTGGTCTTACAAGGGTCTCTCTCTATCCCTTAATTGGATTCAATAGTGTAGAGTCTGCCCAGCCTCCCCAGTCCTAGCCTGCCAGTGTCCCGACCATCACCCTGAGCTCACCTTGCCCAGGTTCATGGTGGCAATCCTGGGCTTGTCTTGCAGAATGGCCTGGATACAGATGCGGTAACCATGCTGTGACTCCCCTAGAGAAATACATAGTCTCAGATCTACACTCACAGCTCAGCATCCTAACCCAGAAATTTCCCTTTTGGCAGACTTAAGCTCAGAACTCAGGCCCAATAAGTCTGAAATCTTTTCTTTGTTTCCAAAAGAATGTTGAGATTAGCACATTTCTCTGTTGGAAACAAAACCACCCACCCAATCTGGAAGTGGGAGAGACAGTAGGCTCCAGGATGGGGCTGGGCTATCCCTCCTGGGGTCCTCTCACCTGGCGTTTTATCAAGCTCTTGCAGCATGGTGAACAAACAGTGGTCAAAAAAGAGCTCGAGAGACCCAGCTGCCTTTGCCAGCAGCCCTCGGATGATCCCACGCAGCTCCCGGCTCACCACGCTGTAGGGATAATCTGGGGCCGATAGACATCCACATGAATGCTGGGACTGGAGGCTGCCAGCTGAGAGACCTGGTGTGCTCCAAGAATGGCGAGTGGAGGCAGAGGTGCCTGCACTGAGGCTAACATCCTCCCTGTCCCAATGACGCCCAGTAACTTTCAGTCATGATGACTTGAAAACAAATCACCCATGTAAATCAGGGCAGTGGGGGCATTGGGCTGTTGCTAATGTGCTTACACATAGCCCTTTCAGTATTTTCTTGACTTGTCTGATCTTGAGGGAGCTGAAAGAACTAACCATGAGTATGCTGGCTTAGTGTGGGTTCACTTAGAGGTGCTTGGAGCTTGTAGTTGAGATAGCTGGCCAGATCCTTCAACCACACAGATGGGTTTCCAGAGAACACGCTCTGGCTCTTGTCCAGTTCCTTCTGCAGAGCTGCCACGTCCAGCTGCCAGAGACACAGGCCCCTCGTGGTGAGGTGTAAGTGTAGGGAAACAGGGTAGAGGTGAAGAAATGGCTGGACTAGGTGGAGGTAGGATGAACCAAGCGTTTCTGCTTTTAAACGTAAGTACGTGGAATGCCGTAATTTTGCTGCACCCAGATCTTTAGAAAATACAGGACAGGTGTATTGCTGATCTCAAGGCCCAGTACTCTTAGGCCCTTCATTCACAGGTTCAAGGGGACAGAGGATGACACGGAAAATGAAAGATCACTGCTTCCATGGGGCAAGGAACTACAAACAGTTCCTCTACCGCTTCCCTGGTATCCCTGGGTCTTCAAGGCTCTTCTCTCATTAATCTATGTTTCCCTATAAAATTCTTATTTCCTCTCTATCCTAAGTGCAAATGTCCTCTTCCTTGGGGTTTTCATCCTTCTCTGGACACCTCCTCTCAACAAACAGTGTCCCAAATTCCACAGATCCCTTAGCTGCCAGTACCCTTCCTGATCCTTTCATCTTCTCTGCACCTCAGGTTCCCATTGTTTCCCCACCTAAAGCCAGGGCACACTCACAGCTTTCAGTGCCTCCTCCAGGCTGCGGAAACGGCCCTGCTTCGGGTTTTGGTTGGTGAGGGTCACCACCTTCTTAGTCTGTTTCTTGTTCTTTGGTTTCTTAGGCTCCATAGCAGGAGGGGGAACCTGCTCCTTATTCTGCTGCTTCATGATTCTCTCAAAGCCCCGCTCATACAGAGTGCTTGTGGTCTGGATTGGAGCTGGCGTATGAGAGGCAAAGAAATGGGGGCCATCCTTGAGTTATGAGGGCCCCAAAGAACAGGAGTCCTTTCCCCCACTGTCCTTATCTAGATCCTGCTTAAGGAGCAGGAGAGGGAACCCACTTGGTTGCTTCTTTCAAACACTGCAGCTCTGGTGTTCATGGGCTGGCTCTCTGACAGAGTTGAGGCATTTATTTTGATAAATCAGAGTACATGGGAACTAAGGGAAGGGTTGGATACAGAGAACTGGCTTCTTTGGTGAGCAGCTACTAGTCTGGGAGGTCAGGGTTTTTCCATCTTGGTTCTACTCCCGTTGCTTTTGGTTCAGAAGTGACAACTCTATATTCAACAAGTGGCGAGCTTTCTGCACTCCTCCAGGAGTCTTTGAGGGAACAGGCGCCACTTGGAATAATACTTGGTGGGTGTTGAGAGTGTGTGACGGGTCATTTCTCCCACTGCTGGGCCTCCCCTCAGTCCCCCGATGAGCACCCCCCGCCCCACCTGCTGGTTACCTAAGGAGGGGGCACTGTGCCTAACGAACCAGTATGCCTCTTCCCAGCGCTCCAACACCTGTCTAGAGAGGCCAGACCAGGGCATGAGAACAGCTGGAAAGGGTGTGTGTGCACTCAGCGGGAGCGTCGGAAGCACGGAATCCCGGTCTCTGACATGTGACCATGGGAAGGCATCTAACTTCACGGGGCCTCCGTTTACTCAACTGTGAGGTGAGGACAACCTCCCTTGCGCTGTCTACCTCCTGTGAGACTCAAGGGTAGCGCTCGAGCAGACGGGGGTGCTTCGGCCTTCTGAGCTCCGGTAGCTACTCGCTACCGCCCTGGCCGGGCAGGCCGGGCCGGGTGGGTACTCACGGGTCAGGTCGTATTTCCACACTCCGTTCGCCTCTCCGAGCGCCCGGCGGTCCCCTCCGCCGCCTCTACCCCTGCCGCCGGCCCCAGGCCGCCGCCCCTTCTTCACCACCTCCCAGCGCCCGTCTACCGCCGCCCTGGCCGCCATGGTTCCGACCCTCCCGCCAGTGCCACCTCCCTGGGCTGTCCGATCCGGTGCGGACGCGCCGCGCTCTGCTACGTCTACTCGCAGGGCCTCGCGGCGCGTGGCGCCAACGGCAAGGCAGCCTGGGACTTGTAGTCTTTCTTTTTTGCCAGGTTACCCCGACCTAGGGGGTCGGGGCAGCTTCGCGGCAAGAAACATCCAGGCAAAGATGCTGAGATGAGAGAATATTTCATTCCGAAAACTTTTGTTGAGCACCTATTGTGTGAAGGCCACTGCACTGGATAACTTGGTGGAAATGAACTGTTTGGTTTTTTTCTTTTTCTTTTTAATATTGCTGGAAGGATGGAATTGAAATAGTCATCCTCACCTCCAGGAAGAGTTTGGAGATTATAAATGCTTCCTTCCTTTTAAGAAAGTGTTAGTTTTTCTGTTGCTAGTGATTAAATTTTAATGGACTATAAAAATCTATTGTGAAGAACAAGGAAGATGACCGAGCTTTAGGGAAGACGCAGTGCTTGGAGAGAGGAAAATGGAGAGCAGAGAGTCCTTCTGATAGGAGGTAGAGAAAAATCAGGGATCTAAGCCAGGACTCTGTTTCCCCTTCCAGGCAAAGGGGAAAGAAACGGTTCTGACTCCCACTGCAAGAGTCGGTCTCAAGTGTCAGATGTGGAAGGGAAGTGATCAAGAGCCCCAGACCTGAGGAACCACTCAAACAGGTTACTGCTCAGAGGTTCACTATCCCTAGAGGACCTTCCACCCTGCTTGTAGGTCATGTGAAACCTCAAAACTGGAAGCATCCCAGCAGGAGAGGATGGGGAGAAAGTGAAATAACAGTAATTATCACAATTAAGGAAATGTGCTATTTCGTGAACACTCCTACATTTGAGGATGAGATTCATACCTGGCATACGGAGAAATAAGACAGGCAAGCCCTTAATAGTAAGAATTAAATAGAGTCTATATTTCAACAAGTGGCAAGCTTTCTGCACTCCTCCAGGAGACTTTGAGGAAACAGGTGCCACTTAGAATAATACTTGGTGGGTGTTGAGAGTGTGTGAGGGGTCATTTCTTCCACTGCTGGACCTCCCCTCAGTCCCCTGATGAGCACCCCCCCAACCTGCTGGTTACCTAAGGAGGGGGCACTGTGGATGAACAGCTTCTGGGGATGATGAGTTCCTTAGGAGGGAGGTAGGGAAAGCTTCCTGAAGGAGATGGCATGTCAGATGGGTCCTGAGGAATGAGAGAATTTTCATTGGTTGGGGATCAGGATAAATAGAGAGACCAGGTCAGTTATATGGATTTATTGATTTAAGCAAAGGCCTAGAGGTGGGACATGGCAGGACAAGTCTGGGAAACTGGAATTAGCTCAGTGTGACAGTGCTTAATGGGATTTTGGAGGTGATGAGGTTGGAAAGGGATCTAAGCCCATATGCCATGATCTGCTAAATTCAGACTTAGTCCTCCAGACCCTGGAAGCCAGTGGGAAAGTGACATGATCCACTGTGTTGGAAAGGAAAATATGGCTATGCGAAGAATGGGTTGGGATAGGGAAAGGCAGGAGGTGGGAGATACACAGTTCTTGCTGCCCCCTGCCTGTCCTCCAGTCTGCTCAGGCCTGTTTGTGGTTGAGTGCTTCAGGTAGCTCCTAGATGGAGTGCTTTTGTCAAGGACGACATTTGAGCTGATCATTAATCAACTCATTTTTCAGTTCATTGGTTTAGCTCTACTCAGAGTCCAACAACAATATCCCCTCTTTGCTTGATCCCTTCTATGTCACATGTATGATCACAGAAGAGAAATAGAAAAGGCTTTCCATAGAGGCAAATGAAGGGGCTGCTCCATGGTGGAGATACACAGAAGGATGGAGAGGGGCTTTCTTTTCTGTCTTTTCTTGGAATAGTCTGGCAAGTCATTGCTTATAAGTTGGCATCTAGGGGATGGGAGTCATTCACATACTTATCCAGCACCATCTCCTAAGCACCTTCTGTACCTAAGCACCTAGCCCTGTGCTATGTGGAGCTGGAGGATACACCTCCCTTGCTTGTGAGGAATTCGAAACCTGTGTAGGAGACAAACTTGAAAACAGAAAAGTATAGTTCACTATCTTAAGTGTTCCATGGGAAAGATATACTTAGTATGAGGTACTGGGAAGAGGTGGAGAGGAGGCAATGGCTTTGCATCCCTAAGCTCTGGGTTTTTGAAGAGCAGCCTTAGACACTAGCCATGGAGGTAGGCTTGGGCAGTACCCACACAGGGTTTGAGGGAAGAATCAAAAGATGTTGGGTCAAGGAGGACAGATGGATGTCTGATGTGGAGGCAAAAAGGGTGAGCTCACTGAAGCACAGTTTGACCCACTGTATTGGGTTTTTAGTGCTGCAGTAACAAACTGCCATGAACACAGTGGCTTTAAACAACACAAATTTATTATCTTATGGTTCTGGAAGATGGAAGCCTGTCAGGGTCTCACTGGTCTAAAATACAGTGTCTGCAAGGCACGGTCCTTCCTGAAGCCTCTAGAGGAGAATCTGTTTCTTTGCCTTTCTCAGTATCTACAGGCTACCCACATTCCTTTGCTCATGGCCCGATTCCATCTTCAAAGCCAGCAACAGAAGGTCGAATCCTTTTCACATTGCAACACTCTGACCTCCTCTTCTGCTCCCCCTTCCACCCTTATGGACCCTTGTGATTACCTTGGGCCCACCTGGATAACCCCGGATACTCTCCTTAAGGTCAACTGATTAGCAACTTGGTTCCATCTGCAACCTTAATTCTTCCTTTTCCATATAACCTAGCATATTCGCAGGTTCCAGGAACTGTGACATGACATCTTTTGGGGGAGGCATTATTCTGCCTACCACACCCACTTCATCAGCAGGGTGAGGCCTTGGCCTGAAGATGAACACTGGGCAATGCAGAGCAACTACCTTATCCTTTTATAGTATGTACCTGGAATAATGGAGGAAAAGCCTTTTAAAATTAGGTAAGGGAATTAAAAATCATAAAGATCAATAAAAGCAGGCAAAGAATTTTTTGGAGGAGAAAAACAGATAGAATAAGGCCTGAACTATCTGCAGGTGTGGGTGAGAATCAGAAGGGGGAAGGAAAGTGAATGAGACACGAATTGCTTAGTTAAGGCTTCTATCTGGAGTTGTTAGAGAAATGGTGGTAGTCTGGAAGAAAGGTCATGGAGCAGGGCCACAAAAGAAACACAGCCTCACCTGTAACTCTAGGATATCGAGGAAACATCTACCAGGACCAGCTTGAGGCTAGAGGTACATTCTGGAGGTCACACCTCTGTGGTCCAGGTTTTTACCACCTTAAGTCTTGTCACATATGATCATCAGTAAGTGAGAGGGCTGGTCTAGATGATTGCCAAGGCTCTGTTTGAATGAGCTTGGAATCCATATTCATTTCAGCACTCTCTCTCCCTGTTGAACTTTCAGGACACTGGTGATTATCGCCCTTTGCAGGGGCACAGGCCAGGAATGTAGGGCTTGTGAATGATGTGCAAGTCCTTCTGACTCCAGTTCCTATTACAGCTTGTTCTACACAAGGAACCATCTGGGCGTCAATGCTCAGCACTGATTGCCGTTTGTAACCCACTCAGCTCTGTCAGTGAGCCCCTGTGCCCAGCTTGATCACTGTGGTGAGGTGTGTGAGCTTTGACAAGAGGTGGGGGACAACATGCAGTCTAATTGGCCCAGAGGAGATGGAAATAAAGCACCTCTTGGCCAGGCCACCCTGCTACCTGCCGGCCCTGGCCCCACCCAGCTGCTTTACCAGACTGCCCATTGTCACAGTCATGGCCCCAAACTTTGTTCCTCCTCAGGGACTGGGGGGCAGAGCCTCAATTCCTTCCCTTAGAGCCCTGGAAACAGTGTTGGGAGGTGGGGACTAGGTCAGAACTAGCTGGGCTCTGAGGCCAAGCAGCAGAGGCAGTTCCACGCATGAGAGAGGGTGGCAGAGGTGCTGTGCTCCATGGCCATCTCCTTGGAGTGGGGAGAAGTATTGAGATCCAGATTGTGGCTCAGCTGAGGGAGACAGGGCATGGACTTTTACCACACAAGTTTATTTAAATAAAAGTGAACACGTATGCAGGCTGGGTGGCCCAAGGGGCATGGGTTGGGGTGAAGGGCGGATGGGAGGCAGACGTACAGGAGGGTCCAAGCAGAGTCTGTGTGGTATGAACCAAGCTGCAGAGGGAGTGGCTGGGGCCTCAGGGCAGGATTGGGCTTCAGGTGCTGGGGCAGGGGGCTGAGGGTGGGGTAAGCCTGGTGCCAGGAGGTCCTTTTCATCCCTCATGCTCCCCTCCTTCTCCCTGACCACTGGGGACCTAAGGCACATGTCCTCAGTCCCCCGTCCCTCTCCTGACATCAGCCTTCCCCTCAATTACTGGGAAGACAGAAGACAAAATAAATAAGAATTGGTGAGTGCTGCTGCGGCTCCCAGAAATGGGGGAGGGAAGCCAAGCCAGGCACACTGCCCTGGAGCCCACGCTGTCAGCCCTGGGGAAAGAACAGGTAAAGTGCAAGGAAAATCCAGTAAGTAAAAATATACCAATGACTTTGTCAAATATACAGCTGCTGGCTGTCAGGGGAGCAGGCGGCTGGCTGGGAAGTGTGGGCCAACACAGCGAAGAGACAACGGAAATAAATAGGGGGGGGAGTGGGCAGAGGTCCACCGACTGGGCTGGTGCCATGGAGGACGGGGCCTCTGCCTGCTCAGCTGCCCCTTCCCCCCAAGCCCAGCTGCCTGATGCCCCAGCGCTGCAGCACTGACATGAAGCACCTGGCCGACCACTGTAAGGAGAGGATTATAATGTGGGGTGGGAGCAGGGTGGGGTGGCACGGGGAAGCCGTGTAGTCAGCCAGGGCTGGAGCTGCTCTCAGTACTCGTCCTGGTCTTCTTGTTGGTGTTCCTCAATCTCATCGTCCTCGGGGGGTGCAAATCCTTCCTGGAGGATGGGAAGGGAGAGGGTGGTGAGCCAGACAGGCCAGGCTGAGGATGCAGATTTCTAAGGGGAGCTGGGAGCAAAGCTGAAGTTCCAGTCCTACTTCCCTGTTAACACCCTCTGGACCCAGGGCTTGGGACTTCGGCTCGCTCTGCACGTTAGTCCACATTCCCCAAGGCCCCTCTGCTCCCATACCCTTCTGATTGTAGGGCCGGGTGGAATGTAGAGGTCCCAGTGGGCCTAGGACATTAGCTGGTGAAGGCACAGCTCACCTCAGTGGCATAGAGAATGCCAATGATGCCCGAGATAACAGGGCTGTTCTCACTTTCGTGTTCCTGGCAGATGAGCTCAATGTCTCGGAGTTTGCTGAAGTAAAAGTCACGCTCCTTCTCCAGCCCATCCACTGTCAGCTTCAAATCCAATAACTGCTTGGTGAGAAAGTGGTGTTCAAGCCCGAGACCCCTGCCTCAGACTCCCCTTACCACCCTGACACCCCATGGGGCTGGCTTTTTTGGCAGGGATATCTCAGCTGTCTGTGCCCACTGCGTTCACCTGCTGGTTGAGTTCAAGAATCTGGGCATCAGTCTCATGACCACCGTTGCGGGCTGATGGGGGATTCTTCCGCAGGATGCAGGGTGGGGCCACGTTGCTCAGCCGGCCAGAGGTCTGCATATTTTTGGGGCCTGTGGGAGATGTCCTCTGTGGAACTGCCCAGAGGAGAAAAGTTGGACAGGGCCATGTGAGCTCACAGCTCACCTGGCATAAGATAGCCTGGTGTGGTGACTTCAGGGGCAGGCCCATGCGAAAGGCAGGCACTCCTGCCCTCCCCTCCTCTCCCCACAGGAGGGGCATCTACGTCTAGGCCTCAAGCACGGCCACGCGTGACACCACAGCAGCTGGGCAGCCCTTTGGCAAGCTTGGGAGAGCAGGGGCTCCAGGGAAGTAAAGAAGGTGTGAGGTGTGGGGAGGGAGGAGAGCTGGCCTGAGGGAGAAGTAGCCAAACCAGGGACTGTGGGAAGTGGGGCTGGAAGGGTAAGGCTCTTATCCTGACAGCTGGAGCCTGAGCAAAAGCAGCTGGCATTTGCTGGGTCTTACCAGCCCTAAGCCACCCTCCCTGTGGGCTGTCTCAGTCTCAGGGATGGAGGATACCTAAGAATCCTGCTCCTGCCCCTCCCGGACTCTCTGCCTCAGGATGGGCTCTGTGCCCTCTGCTGGGCCTGACCCAGGGACCCCGACTCCACCCTACACACGGCATGCTGTGGCTGCCTGTCTTCCAGCTAGGGCAGCTCCAGAGTCTCAGCTGGCTGCTTCCAATGCCAAGCAAGCAGGTGAGTGGGGGCAGGCCCAGGCAGGGCGGCAGCGCAAACAGGAGCTGCTCTGCTATGACGGGTTCAGATGCAGGCTGGGGCTGCTCCTCTCTCTTTCTCTTCCCAAGCTTCTTGTCCCTCAAAGGCCCTAGTGCTTCTTTCCCTTCTCCTCTGGAACCCAGATAAAGCCTCATTTCAAAAGACTCATCGCTTGAGCTCTTAGGGCTTGTGGGCCTTTGGAATGGGGAAAGATATAATGAAGCTTGGCAAACTCCTATCCCTGGGTGCCCAGTGGGCAGGGGCAAAAACAGTGTGTAGTACTGGCACCAGGCTCTTGGCCTGGGAGGACCTGGATGGAGGAACCGCGCCACGTGCTGCCCCGTCATCCCGAAGCAGTCAAGTCAGCTTCGGCTCCAAGAGGAAGTGCCCTGTGCCTCCCACCAGCAGCTGCCCCATGGCTGGTGCTGGTGGTCCTGTAGTAATCTTTGGAGCCCTCTCCTCCCTACTGTGACTCCCCCTGGTCTAGGCAGGCAGCAGGCGGCATCATCTGAACTCCGTGATAACAGTCTCCTTTGGGCTGGCAGGGCCGGGCCGGTGGCCCAGGGGGCACTCCTGGCTGTAGAGCCCTGCCGGCCCGGCCCCCAACTCTCCCTCCCCCAGCTCGGGCACGTTACCTGCTGTGCCAATGAGTTTCTTGGATTTGTTGAAGATCTGATCACCTGGGTTAGGAGGTGGCGCTACGTCCTGGCCCTGCCGCGCCAGCAGAGGGTTGTAATCCTTTCCATCATAGTTTGCGTCAAAGAATTTCTTAAACCACTGAATAAACTCAAAATTATCTTGGAATTTTCCTTTTACTAATTTCTCTACAGGAATTATCTGAAACAGACCACATAAGCAGAGAATTTTAACCACCTTTAACTTTAACCTCTGTGAGAGGGCCACTGCTCTAAGGAAAGCCAGCCCCTGGGCTGCAGCATCCACCTGGTCCCCCTCCCATGGCACCAGAGCAGCCAGGTAGGCTGTAGGCCCTGGCACTGCTGTGTGCATGTCAGATGGGGGTTACTAGAACCAGGGGCCTGGGACCACTGAGGCAGTAGAGTGAGCCAAGAGATTTTTCTTGGGCCCTACAGAGAAGGAAATTGATAGAAGCAGTACTCCAAGCCTCAGATGTTGGGATGGATAGGGTCCAGAGAGGAGGAGGGGACAGGAATGTCATCAGGATGGGGTGTCAAGTGTGGGGTTTTCCTCTGTGCCTTGAGCTGGGGGAACATTTCCTCTGGAGAGTCAGGGTGGGGGGTGGAGAGAGGCGTGAGAGCTGGAATGACCCCAGCAGCCCCCGCTGCCCTGGCTGGAGGGCCATCTTCTTCCCCAGGGTCACACAGCTCCTCGGGAGGTCCCCTTGGAGTGCAGGCACCTACTTTGTCAACACCCATCTTCTTGAAAGCTGCTTGCAGCACCTTGAAGTTGTGGATGTATTCATGCTCTAGCTTGGCCTGGAACTTCACCTTCCTCAAGTGCACACAGCCAGGGAAGAGCATGTCCATGAACTGGCAGTAGGCTGCCCCTGCAGAGAAGCATGGCTGACTGAGCTCCCTAGCCTGGGCTTCTCCTGTTCACTTCCCCAGGCCCTCAGGTGGCCTATTTCCCCAAGCTACCCTCTCTCCTCTTCTTTCTTCTTGTCTTCGACCCAGAGCTGGGGCCAGTCCTACTTGCAGGATAAAAACAGCCAGAGTCTCCCCAGCTTTCCAAGAATGAGAGCAATTAGTGTTTAATGATATAAATGTCTACCATGTGCATTATATACCATACCAAACCTTGCGTATATGTAATTTAATTCTAACAGCAACCTTCATTAGATAGGTGCTGTTATCTCCATTTTCTGGATGGGAAAACTGAGACCTACAGAGGGGTGGTGCCTTGCCCAGGGTTTACTACAAGAAGAGCTGAGATTTGAACCCACTATGGCTCAACTGGCCCTTGTGCTGTTAGCCTCTGGCTTCCCTGCCCATCCCAACTTGTAATACCCCACGGCCTCTGCCCACCTGAGGCCATTCACTGTGCCTCTTAGATTTTGCACTTTCTTCTCTTTCATTACATGGGACCCTATTTCCTTACTTTAACTCCAAACACAATGACTGCTTTAGGGCTCTGCAGCACTCCCCTGTAATCCCAGTTACAAGCTTGGCTCTGTCTTGTGGCTGTTCTGCCTCCCGTCTTCCCTCCCTTTCCCTCCAGCAGGGCCTGCTCCCCCATTCCCAGCCTCCTACCTGAACAGAGCTGTTCTATCTTGGTGTAGTTGAGGTGCAGGGAGTCATTGACCCATGCAAGCATGTCATGGCGACTCAGATTTTCACTGGTCACAGATGTGGAGTACACATTGACGGCCATACCCCAGCTGCAAGGGAGAGGAAAGACAAGGTCAGCACTCAGCAGCCTTGTGCTGTTCTTCAGCTGTAGGAGCGGAGGAGCTGGACAGTCCCTGGGGAAATGAAAAGCATTTCCTCCAGACCAGCCTCGTGGTTCGCCCTCCTGGAGAAGGGGGCTTATTCACTCTGTGACATTTAGTAAGTGTCTACTATATGCTAGGCATGTGCTAGGAACTGGTGATACAAAGTTGAGAAAGTTGTTGTTTCGGCCTTGGAGGAGTTGATACCTACAGAAGGGGTGACAAGGCAGTTAAAGCAGCACTTGTAAGTTTAGAGATGGCACAAAGATGGGTGTGATCTCTTCTGTCTGACAAGGTCAGGGAAGGATTCAAGTAGAAACGTTGGCGCCTGAAAGGGGTAGGAATTTTCTGAACATACAAGGGGGTGGGATGGAAGGGCACGCAGACCTGAGGACCAGCGAGAGCAAAGGCACAGCCTATTCCAGGACTCTGAGTTGCCGGCAGGCCTGGGGAGCAGGTTTTTGTTTTGGGGTGTGGCACCACGAGAGTGGCAGGGACTGGTTGCAAAGGGCTTCACTTTCCTTGAGAGGTCTGGACTTTCTGCTCAGACAATGGGAAGCCATGAGAGAATTTATGCAGCAGCATTCTGACCAGATTTGTGTTTTAGAAAGCCAACTGACCTTTGCTTTTCCTCTGACTTCAGCAGCCTGCTGGTCCACAGGCACCTAAATTCCACTTGTCCAGAACCTTCCCTTACTACAGTATGCTTCTGCTTCTATGTTCAATATCCCAGCAAAGGTCACCTGCGGTTACCCATCACCCACCTTAGAAATCTGAGGAGCTATCCCAGACAGCCTACCCTCCTTCATCCTCACATCCACTCATTCAAGTTCTGCAGCTCTACCTTCTCAGTCTGCCCTGCTCTTGGCCATTTCTCCTGCTGCCTTGGGGGTTGTGTGTACATTCTTTCCTGCCAGGGCTGGCAGAAGCCTCCTAAAGGGCCTTCCTGCTGCCAGTCTCTATCTCCCCCTAGCCCATCCCTGACACTGCTGCAATCAGAATCCGTGTAGAAGCAGCTTGACCACACCACTCCCCAGCTTGAAGCCCTTTCCATCAGCAGTCATACATGAGACAGCCATCGGCCGAATTTGCAGACTTGAACTGATTAGCTCTCACAGTGTTGGCAACATTTTCAATCAGGGCCCAATATTTTAAAGTTGTTTAAATATTTTAAACACAAACAATTTGGGATTTCTGGCTTCTTTTGGCAACTGGGGCCTTTGTTCCTACACAGCAGCAACTGTTGTAGCTGAGCAAAGGCACTCCTGCTGTAGCCAGCAGGCATGAGCTCCTCCTTCCCAGCTCCCCATCCTCAGGCAGAGGCCAAGTGTCAGTTCTATTTATTACTGACTTGCACTGTTAAGAGAAGGAAAATATATCTTATAACTTGCACTTATCAGAAATGGAGATACAGAAGATAGACCAAAAGGCCTGTGTGTTTTGAGAATTGTGAATGCATATTTCTGGAGTGAAGTATATTTCTCTCCATTTAATACACAAAGTGTCTCTGTGAAGGAAATACACCCAGCCACTTCCCTGTCCCCTATAGGCATCTGCCCTTACTAAGTGACCCCCTTCCCCCACTTACCAACTCTTAAATGGGCCCCACCTCTTCAGCTGCTCGTCTTACTTTGCTCCCACAGTTGGGAGTCAAGGGCAGCTCCCTGCTTACTCTCTGTCTGGAATGCTGCCTCTGCCCCAAGTGCTCATTCTCTGCTCCAGTGGTTCTCAAACTGTGGTCCCTGGAGCACTCTGGTATTCTAGGGGCATCAGCTTGTTAGAAATTCCAATTCTTGAGCTGCACCCCAGATCTACTGAGTCAGAATCTACACTTGACCAAGATGCCCAGAGTCTGCAGGCACAGTCAGATTGGAGAAGCTGCTCTAGAGAGGAGGCTCTGTTGGCATCTGCTAGGCTATTCTCCCCTGTGCTCCCCACCCCAAGTATATATAATGGAACCTCATTAAATACACGTTTAACTTCAATGAAGTTTTTGAGAAAAATCAGGAGAGAAACCCTCTCGTTTATTCCTAGTTATTCCTCCTTTTGAAAATAGACCTTGTCCTTCATTGCCCAGAGAAAGGGAGGTCAAGGCAGGCCAAAAAGCCAAGAGAAACAAAAATTATAGTCTTGGGAGCTTTTAAGGACTCCGGGACAGCAGTTCCAATGGAATTCCAGTTCAGTTCGACTGTACTTGAGTCTCCTCACACACAGTAGTTTTGAGCCCCCTGCCTTGTATCTTGTATCTGACCCTTGCATAACAGTGGACTTGGTTAAAGATCTGCCCCCTCTACAGAAAGTGCCTCGAAGCCAGGAGTGGTGTTTCCAGGCCTGTGACAGGTAAGGTATTCAGCAAATCTGTTGAATGATTGAGTGATGCCTCCTCATGTCTGTTCTTCTAAATCACCTTTCATCGCCTTCTGGCCTGGGCCCCCTCCCACCACCCAATTCAACCTTTAGGACTCAGCTTGGTCATCATTTCCTCTAGGAAACTTTCTCTGAACCTCTGTGGTGAGACATGTGTCTCTGTGTTTCTGTAGTACCAGGAGCATAGTCATGGCAAAGAGTCACATTCTCTTGAACTTAATCGTCCCTTTCATCTGACTGTAAGTGCCTCAGTGGCCCACTGCCTCATTCAGTTTTGGGTCCAGACCAGTTCTCAGTGAGCTCCTAAGTGGAGTTAGGAGAGTGCTTCTGAGTTTTCAGGAACTCACCTAAAGTAACATCAGTAGGTGTGGCTGGAGGGAACGGAGACCAAACTTGATCAGAAGGCAGAATGGGCAGGGTCAAAGAAAGTGCATTTTATTTTGATGAGCAGTTAGTTGGGGACTATGAGAAAGAGAATCTCTTCTATTTCTTTTCCATTTGCCCCTGTCCTCAAGGAGTTTATAGTCTTATTGGGAGACAAGCACACAGGAGAACAGTACAGCCAAATGCTCCAAAGTATGGTGAGAACAGTGCTGCAGGGAGTCAGGAAGGAGAGAGCACGGGGATCCAGAGATACTGGCATGGGGTGTGCACAGCCCCAGCAGAGTGGGTAGACCCTGCCAGGCCTCTGGGGGGTCTGCAGAGGCCTGCCAGGAGCTGAAAGCAGAGGGGACCGCCTATTCTGGATATTGGCCTTATTTCATTTCAAATAAGCTCTGGCACTTATTTCTCCCTGAGGCTCCCAGGGAGGGTGATTCTGGCTAGCTGCAGCTGTGCAGAGCAAGGCCTCGGAGTCTGGATTGGTCAGGTCTGCTTCGTGGAGGTGTAGGGGGGTCTTGGGTTGGTCCTGGGAGTTCCTGAGACACTTTGGAACTTTTTTTCTGTTTACTGCATATGAGTTTCAAAGGCTGATTACTGAATAAAAACAGAGGCTCATGTGTATATGTGTGTATAACTATATTGTATGTATTATTATATATTATATATATAACTATAAATAACATACTATATATAAGCCATGTATTTATATGTGATATATATGCAGTATGTTTTTTATGTATAGTTGCACACATACACATATATATACACACACAAATATATTTTATGTATATGTAATTTAAATATGCAGGTGATCAGTGCACAACCAGATATTAGAACCACAGTCCTCATCTGGTGCATGGACTTGGCTAGGACTGGCTCGCCTGCATTGCCATGGCAAAGGCTGGCATGTTGGGATGTTTTGCTACCTCCCTGGGGGGGACAGTGTTAGTCATCTTCCTCCTTGGTACACAGGAAAAAAATCTCTAGTTTCCCTTCCAGAACACAAGTAAAGACCTTGCTATCAGTGTTCCAAGAATCACCATAGGTACTTGAAAAATGCCAAAGTGGTCTCAGCTTGCCCAGAAACTCCCAGTTCTGTTCATGTCTGATGACGGGAGGCATCTTCCACCCTTTTGATCAGTATGAATCTAGGGTCCCAAAAGTGGCAACAGTGTGTGTTAAGAACGAAGTTGGGGAAAAATAGCTCCTTTCAGGGTTTGACAGTCAGTCATGCTGTTCCCTCCTGTGGGGCTTTTGGGGAAAGTGTGGGTTGGGTGGAGTTAGGCAGGAGAGTGGGGTAGGTAGGTGGGCAACTGATATTAGGAACAGAGCTATTGTCTCCACTCAGGACTGGCTCAGGTTCTTTCAAATGATGCTACTCTCTGCCCTGGCTGGTGTCCGTTTTAGCTCAGGAGGCCTCATCCAAAGCATGCAGGGGTCTTTGCAAGTATTCTCTGCCATGCTTGCTAGAGGGCAATAAGAAACCAGCCTCCTAGTTTCCTTGTCCTTCATCCTAATGGGGAGGGCAGGATTTAATTTTCCACTCCTAGATGTGGCCCTGTAAATACAACTGAATTATGGCCAGCAGGTGGCACCCAGGTCCTGAGCAAAGACTCTAACGACATGCCCCCTCCCCAAGTCCCCCTGTCTCTAGCTCAGTTTAGAAAAAGGGAACTCCCAGCTTTGATCCACCCCCCACAAAGAAGCATAGTTTGGTCAAAAGCTGGTGGTGAAAGGACAAAGGGAAGGTTGAGTGTTTATTCCTGACCTGGTTGTCCTCTAAAAGCTGAAACAGCTGCTGTGGCCTGGAGCATTGGGTCTAGGATTCTGGACCTCCCTGTTCCCCAAAGCCACAAGGTGAACTCATCAACTGGCCCAACTTCTAAGGACTTTTTGGATTGGGGGTTGACCCAAGCCTAGACTCAAACCAGACCAATTTCTGGGGGGCAGAGGCTGATAAAGCCATTACCCAAGTACCTGGCCCTAAGTGGACCAGTTGCCTCTACTTCCAGCAGAGACATAGTCTGAGAAAAAGCAAATACAGCTGTTACCCAGGGCTGCTTCACCTCCCCTGAGAGAGTGGTAGGCAACCACCCAGAGTATACAGACGCTGTCCCAAGGGCTACAATAGTGGGGTCTTCCAACCCTGTCCTCATGTTTCTGCCATCATCTTTGGCAGCTGGTAACTATCAGGAGAAATA